CCCCTCTCCCTGTCACTCCACATCTCTCTGCCCCCCCTCCATTTTCCCCCCCCTCACTTCCCTTCTCTAACACTTCCCTCTCTTTTTTTGCCCCCCTGTCCCACTCTTGTTCTCTCTGCTCCTCTCCTTCTCTCTCTCTCTGCTCCGTCTCCCTGCCTACCCCTCTATCTCTGCCCTTTCTCTCTGGTCTTTTTTTTCTCTTAATCTCTCTCTCTCGCTGCCCCCCCCCCGCTCCCCTTCTATTCTGTTCCCCTCTCTCTCTCTTCCCTCCCCACCACACCCCCTCTCTCTGCACCCCCCCTTTCTTTCTTCCCCCCACTCTTTCTCTCTGTCCCCTCCCTCTGCCATCTCCCCTCTCTCTATCCTCCCTCCCCCTCCTCCCTCCCTCCCTCTCTCTCTGCCCCTCTCTCTCTCTCCCCCCTTTGTCTGTCTCCCCTCTCGCTCTCTTTGCCCCTCTCCTCTCTGCTCCTCTCTCTCTGTCCACCTTTTTCTCTGCTCCCCTCCTCTTCCCCCCCTTGTCTCTGCCCCCATCTCTCTATCTACCTTTCTCTCTCTGCCCCCCTTTCTGTCTCTCAGCCTCTCCTTCTCTCTGCTTCTCTCTCTCTGTCCGCCTTCTCTCTCTATCTGTCCCCCTCTTTCTCTCTCTGCCCCCTCTGCCCTCCCCACCCCCTCGTCACCTCCTCTCTGCCACATCCCGTCTGCAACCCCCCCACAACTCCCACCTATCTTTCCCCCTTGTCTCTGCCCTCCCTTTCTCTCTCTGCCCCCCCCCCATCTCTGACCCCTCTCTCCGCTCCTTTTTCTCTCTTAACCTCTCTCTTGCTGCCCCCCCATTCTCTGCCCTGCCCTCTCTCTCTCTGCCCCTCTGACACCCCCCATCTCTACCACACCCCCTCTCTTCCCCCCTTCTCTCTGCCCCTCTCCTTCTCTCTGCTGCTTTCTCTGTTACTCTCTGCCTCCTTCTCTCTCTCTGCCCTCCTCTCTCTCTGTCCCTATCTGCCCCCTTCTCTTCCCCTCTCTCTCTGCCACACCTCCTCTCTCTGCACCCCCTCTCTGCAACCCCTCCCTTCTTCCCCCCTCTCTGCAAGTCCTCCCCTCTTCCCCCCTCTCTGTCCCTCACTCTGGTTATCTCTGCTCCCCCCCTCTCTCTCTCTCCCCCGTCTATTCTCTGCCCCTCCCTCTCTCTCTCTGCCCACCCTGCCACCCCCCATCTCTACCACATCTCCTCTCTCTTCCCCCCTTTCTCTCCGCAGCACTCTGTCTCTGCCTGCCCTTCTGCTCCTCACTCTCTCTGTCTCTGCCCCCCCTTTCTCTCTGCCACATCTCCCATCTATGCAACCCCTCTCCTCCTCCCCCCTTTCTCTCTGCCCCCCTCTGTCCCTCACTCTTTTTTTCTCCGTCTCCTCCCTCTCTCTTTCTGCTCCCCCTGTCTCTCTGCCCTCCCTTCTCCCCTCCCTCCCATCTCTTTGCCCCCTCTTGCTCTCTTTACCCCTCTCTCTCTCTGCCCTCCTCTTCTGCCCCCCTTCTCTCTGCCAACCCCCTATCTGCCCTTTTCTCTCTGTCTCTCTCTCTCTCTTGCTGCCCTCTCTCTCTCGCTGCCCCCCTCCCTCTCTCTCTGCCACCCCTCCCTTCTCTGCCACACCCCCTTTCTCTGTACCCCCCTTGCCACCCCCACCTCTCTTACCCCCTTCTCTCTGCCACCCCTTTTTCTTCACTCTCTCTCTCTATGCCCACCCTCCGCTCTGCCCCCCTCTCTCTCTCTGCCCCTCCTTTCTCTTTTTGCCCCCCCTTATCTCTCCTCTTTTTCTCTCTTAGCCTTTCTTTCTCTCGCTGCCCCCTGTCTGTACCCCCCTCTATTTGCTGCCTCTCCCTCTCTCTGTCCCCATCATTTCTCTCTGTCCCCCCATCTCTCTGCCTCCCCCACTCTCTCTGCCCCCCCTCTCATGCTCTGCCCCTCCCCTCCCCTCTATCTGCCCCTCTCTCTATCTGCACCTCTGGCTCCTCACTCTCTGTCTCT